AGTGCTGGGATTAAAGGCGTGCGCCACTACCGACCGGCCGAGTTACTGGTACTCTTACACGGTGCTTGTGGAAACAGCTTGGTAGCTCCTCAAAAACTTAAACTGCCACTGCATACCCCAAAGAATGGAAAAATCAGTACAATAAAGTTGTACACAACAGGCAGGTGGATCTCTAAGTTCAAGACCAGCCTGGTCTACAGAGAGAGTTCCTGGAAAGACTGGGCTACACAAAGAAACTCTGTCTCAAAAAACTGGGGGGAAGAAACCTTAAATATTATGCTGGGCACACACCTTTAGTCCCAGTACTGGGGAGGCAGAGGCAGGGGAATCTCTGAGTTCAAGGCCAGCAAGGTCTACAAAATGAATTCCAAGATGGCCACGGCTACACAGAGAAACCCAATCTCAAAAAAAAATTTTTTTAGCATCCAAAACAACAACAAAAGAAGCGATTGCAATGACATATGTTTGTAATCAGCATTTAGGACGTGGAAGCAAGAGAATCATTCCATACAGAGAATTCAAGACCAGCCTGGCTTTCATGAAAAACCCCATTCACAGTGTTCTTTCTTTCTTTTTCTTCTTCTTCTTTTTTTTTTCCCCCGAGACAGGGTTTCTCTGTGTAGTTTTAGAGCCTTTCCTGGATCTCGCTCTGTAGACCAGGCTGGCCTCGAACTCACAATGATCCGCCTGGCTCTGCCTCCTGAGTACTGGGATTAAAGGCATGCACTGCCGCCACCACTTGGCACAGTGTTATTTCTAATAGTTCCGTGATAACAAAATGCCCATCAACTTATGAATGAATAAACAAGATATGCTCTACTTATCAAATTGAGTATTCTAACAAAAAAAGAACAAAGTAATGACATGATACACACACACACACACACACACATTCTGGATGGATCATAAAAATATGAAAGAAGCTAATCAGAAAAGAGACCACATGAAGTGGGACTATATGAAATGTGAAGAGCATGTGGAACTATGGAGGTAAAAAGTAGATTATTCGTTCCATGGATCTAGAGAAATGGAGCACATGGATGTGTTTGTATGTATTACATTTATTTGGGAGGGAAGTACCTCTAAAGTGTTCTACACCTAGATGTGGTAATGTTTGGGCAACTTTGTAAATATATAGAAAACCATCTAAGTGAACCATTTTTTATTAGTGTGTGGGTGCTGTAGGTATGCATGTGTATAGGTGTGGATACTCTGATCCGCGTGTGGAGGTCAGAGGACAGCATTGTAGAGTTAGTTCTTTGCTTTCACCTTTTCATGGATTCCAGAGATCAACGTCAGATCACCTGGCTTGTGTGGCAAGCCTTTTTACCTATTCACTGAACCATCTTGCTGGCCTTAAATTCACATTTTAAAACAGTGAACTTGAGCTGGAGATGTAGCTCAGTGCTTAAAATACTTCTCTACCTTGCAAAAGGCTATGCATTCATTACCCAAATGGTGAACTTTATGGTATGCAAATTATGTCTCAAGTGGGGTCTTAAAAATATGTGGTGCTTTGAATAAAGATAAACTAATAAAACCAGATTTTCTTTAAAATTAATTAAAAGGGTGTTTGGTTAATAAATTTAATTATGATCGTAGTATGTTCTTAACATTTTTTCCTCGTGGAGCTGTAATTGAATATTTCAAAACCAAATAGTATTCTGATTATTTGTTTCTTTAATCTCGGCTTGCATTTTTCTCCTTCATTTTCTTACATATTTTCAGATTGCTACTTGCAAAGGAAACAGTAAGGGGTTAGGATATATATCAGTGTTAAGGGCCTTGGTTATCATGTGTTGGACTCTTGATTTGATCATCACACATATAATATTGATTACGTATCTTAATATTTGTAGAAATGTCACTGCTTGTACACATTACATTTGCTTTAACTTAATATTCTACATTTGCATTTTCTCCTCTTTGTTTTCATTAGTAAAATATCATTTATCGCATGAGGTATTAATTTTTGTCTGTGTTTTTCTTTCTTTAAAAAAATTCTTTGAGACAGGTCTCACTGTGCAGCCCTGGCTAACCTAAAACTCTGTGTATAAAGTAGACTGGTTCCCAACTCATAGAGATCTACTTGCCTCCACCGCCCAAGTGCATTATGAGTTTTTCCTCCAACTTACTTTTCCACTAATTTTAGCTGGGCATGGTTGTGCACGCCTTTAATCCCAGCACTCAGGAGGCAGAGGCAAGTGGATCTTTGTGAGTTTGAGGCCAGCCTGGTCTACAAAGCAAGTTCCAGGATAGTCAGTGCTGTTACACAGAGAAACCCTGTCTAGAAAAGCAAAAAAAAAAAAACCTACTGATCAGCATTGTATAAAATTTCTATGTCATAAGCCATAATATATTTATATCTATCTATCTGTTATCTATCTATTATTATCAGTTGAAACTATTTGGCTGCAGGTGGTGGCGCACACTTTTAATCCCAGCATTCAAGAGGCAGAGGCAGGAGGATCTCTGTGAGTTCAGGGCCAGCCTGGGCTACCAAGTGAGTTCCAGGAAAGGCGCAAAGCTACACAGAGAAACCCTGTCTCGAAAAACCAAAAAAGAAAGAAAATATGTTTTGTACCTGTTTATTAGCCATTTATTTCATCTGTGAATTGTCAGAATTGCCTTCCATCTTATCAATTTGTATGATATATATATATGATTATAAACCCATTTTATGCATGTTTCTGCAAGAACATTTCCAATTTTATTATTCCCTTTGTTATTTGTTTATTGTTAATTAATTTACTTATTTTTGAGACAGAGTTTTGCAGCTTAAGGGCCAATCTCTACGTCACCATTCTGTTTTAGTTCTCAAGTACTGAGACGACTGGCATTAATAATAATGCCTAGCATGTTTTGAAAATTGGATTTACTTTGTTTATAATGGGGGAGAGTTTAAAGTCAATCTTCTCCATTTTCCTTTTGATTTATTTTCCATTTGTGATGACGGATCTTGGTTGTCAACCTGTCTGAAACTGCTGCTGGGTACTAACTACTGTGAGGGATTTTCTAGATCAGACTATTTGAAGCAGGAAGGCACACCCTAAATCAGGGTGGCACCTTCTGGTGGCAGCCCAGAAAAAAAGGAACATTGAAAAGGGAAAGTTCACTTTCTGACTGTTTGTCCTCACTCTCATTGGCAAGTCCATCTGCCTTGTTGCTACAGAATTCCTTCACTAGTGCTCAAACCTACTTCTTTGGGATTCCAACAGACTGAAGAGCAGCGGCTGTCCAGGACTCCAGTGCCACATTGGGACTTCTGAGACATCGAGCCTTGTGTATTGAACAACTACCAGAATCTTGGCCTTTCTATCACAAGCTAGTCATTGTTGGATTACCAACCTAGACTGCATCCTGACTACCCTAATACACTTTTGTTCCTAAACTTGGAAAGGAGTTCTCATCTTGAGATTTCTTGCATAGTCAGTCTTTCTTTCCTACTGACATTTATATTTATTTCCTTATTTATGTAGAGACAACCTGGAGCTTCCTATCATCCAGCTTCTTCCTCTTAAGTGATTGCATTACAAAACTTTATGTAATAAACATGTGTCACAATGCCCGATACAGGTGATTCTGTGGATTGAACTCAGGGATTCATGAATGTTAGGAAAGACTCTACCAACTAAAATACATTTGCAGCCTTCCATCCATTGCCTTTCAAAAATAACTCGAGGGGCTGGGAAGATGGCTCCATGGCTAAAGTACTTGACATATAAGCATGGAGACCTGAGTTCAGATCCTCAGCACTCATATAAAACCTAAAAGCACACATATAGCCCTAGATTAGTGTGTGTGTGTATGTGTGTGTGTGTGTGTGTGTGTGTGTGTGTGTGTGTGAATTTGTGTGTGTGTGAATTTGTGTGTGTGTGTGTAGTTGTATTCCAGGGTATTACTGGTTTAATGACAGAACATATGTCTAATAATTATTATAATAATGTGAAGAGCAATAGAGGAAGACTGAACATCAGCCTTGGGACTCACATGCGTACATGGATGCGCACATTCCCACCACACACATATACGAACACACCAAAAGATGTGAAAATAGAAGATGGACTACTTGGGAAGAGGGTATTGGCCAGAGTGTCTTAGTCAGTGTTCCATTTCTGGGAAGAGCTATCCTAACCAAGGCAACTCTTACAAAAGAAAGCATTTAATTGGGGCTGGCTTACAGTTTCACAGGTTTAATCCATTATGCTGATGGGAGGGCATATGGCAGCATGCAAGCAGACATGGTAGCTGAGAATTCTATATCCAGGTTCAAAAGGCAGCAGAAAGAGAGAAGTAGCTGAGAATTCTATATCCAGATCCACAGGCAGCAGAAGAGCAGAGCCACTGGTTCGGACTTGGGCTTTTGAAAACCTCAACATCCTTTCAAATAGTGCCACTATCTAAGCATTTATATATATGAGCCTATGGAAGTCATTCCTATTTAAACCACCACAAAGCAGGAATAGCAAAGTGACCAGAGGAAGTAATAGGGTATGGATATGATCAAACTACAGTATGCACATACATAAAAAAATGTCATAATGGGGGCTGTAAGATAACTCAGAGGTGAACGGTTCTTGCTGCACAATCATGAGAACCAGATCTCAGCACCCATGGATCAAGCCAGGTATCTCATAAGAGACTATAATTTCAATTCTGATAGATCTAATGCCCTCTGCATGTGTGTACTCTTCTTGCCCCCCAACATGCATATATTCTTATGCAAACACAGACATATAAAAAATACACTTTACATGTGTTTATCTAATTTGTAAGAATTTGGTTATATGTAGGTGGTATACTATGCATATGTAGAGGTCAGAGGACAACTTGCCCGAGTTAGCCCTCTCTATCATGTGAGTTCTGGGAATCAAACTCACATTGTCAGGCCTGGCAGCAAGTGCCTTTACACACGGAGGTATCCTTGTTTATTCTCTGTCTTTCTGTGTGTGTCTTTGTCTCTATCTCCCCCGTGTGTGTGTGTGTGTGTGTGTGTGTGTGTGTGTGTGTGTGTGTCCATGTCAGTGAGCATGTATCTCATGTGGCTTTGAAGAGATCAGAAGACAGCTTGGGGTAAGTTAACTCCTTTCACCTTGGATTCTGGGGATCAAATTCATGGCTATAAGCACCTTTATAAATCCCCTGATCAAGGCCACCTGAACGGGTGAGACAGTCATTTGGCTTGATCTGTTTGGGAGGCAGCTGTGCATTAGTGCCAGGTCCTGGACGCATTGCATGAGTTGGCTGTTTGAATCCTGGGACTTATGCAGGGACACTTGGCTCGGTCTGGGAGGGGGGAATGGACCTGCCTGGACTGAGTCTACCAGGTCA